TGTCCTCAAAGAACTCGCATCTATTCTTAAGTTCTAAAACAACCATGAAGGAGGAACTAATATTATCGTAATTTCACAGTTGATACAATTAATGTCCAAGAACTTGAAGTGCCTTGTCTAAAGGCACGTGACCAGTAAGTGACAGAAGCAGGATATGAGCCCACATCTGGCTGATTCCAAAGCCGGACGCTCACTGTGCTAGGGCTGCTACTTGGCTCTACTGATGGGAAGAGAAAGGAACCCCATATTGGCCCTGTACTCTCCTTTTCTCCGTTCTCTGCCTCTCCTTTGTCTTGCCCATCTTAACACCCTTATCTATCTGCCCCCTTCCCTCCCTCTCTCCAAGTCTTCTCCTCTCTTTCTCCTATGTCGTCTTTCCATTCATGTACTTTATATCTTTCTCTAATGCACCGGTGAAGAGTTTCCCAATGGTTTCAAATGTGCCAAAACCCGAGCTAGGCATTGGAGATGCAAAAATGGATGAGATTCAAACCCTGTCCTTGAAGAATCCTTCATTTAACTGGGATGCATAAGAATACGTCATGTCACCTAGGAATCCCAGAGCAGGGTACTGAGGGAGCTCAGAGAGGAAACCACCTACAGGAAGGCACTGAAAACTTCCAGAAAGGGTATATTTGATCTGGGTCCTGTGGGAGGAGTAGGCCATTTGCAGAAAAGAAGGGGAGAAGAAAAAGTTCTCCTGGAGGACTTCAGGCTCTTAGGAGCTCCTCCTCAGCGTAGGGGCCCAGGGCCCAGTGGCGGATTGGTCTCTGCCCTAATGTGCCTGCTTCCCATCTGCTTCGCTCCACTCCATTGTCATGTAGGTCCTCACAATCATATTTCGAAGCACAAAGCTGACCATACCTACAGCCTCTAAGGGTGCTCTTGGCTGCAAGCTTAAATCCAAGCTCCTTAGCCTGTCGTTCAAGGCCCTCCACAATAGGCCCCTGCCAGTCTCTCAGGCCTCAGGCTCAGTGGATGACTCACCGTCCCCCAAACATGTTCTGCTTTCTACCAATGCCATACCTTTGCTCAAGCTGTTCCTCCAACTGGAATGTCTTTGTTCCCCACTCCAAACCCCCCATCCCATGCCTGCCTGTAAAAGGCCTGCCCTCCTGAAAGGACTGGTTCAAATGCTACTTTCTCTAAGAAACCTTCTCAGATCACCCTAAGATAATGAGTCTTTTATTTTCCCCTTACTCTTCTGCATGGCTCTGTCAGAGCACTTAAACTGGGTGAGAGTTCTCTGTTTACTGGTTTATTCTCTGTCTTACCTGCTGGATTCTGAGCTCTTTGAGGGCCCCATCACACAGATTTGGTTCTTCTTCGAGACCTCAGAATTCATGTCCTGCTTCGCAGAACAGATATTAGAGTATATTATGTTACCTCTTCATCTTTGCTTCTTCCTCTGCTATTTATCTCCGCTCTTCTCCCTTTATTTCCTCCTTTCTCCCATTGTCATTTTTGAGTTTTTTCATTAAGCCACGCCAAAATCCAGTGCTATCTCTCAACTTCCCTAATAAATGATACAACCACCACTCATTTTAAGTCAGTTTGTGGTTGGATTTTCTCTTGCAGCCAAAAGCATACTTACACAGCAATTGGCACCAAATTGTTACCAGTAGATATTTCAGCAGAGGATACAAGTTAGAAAAATATAGAGTATGAGAGTATGTTGGCTAAATCTAGGGACCCTCAAAAAAGTTACTACAAAAAAAAAGCTGCATATGAGACTGGCCATAATGAAAACCTATTAGGTATATAATTATACAAATGCAAATTACCATAAATTAAGATACCACTTTTATTGATCTAATTAGTAAAAACTAAAAATCTAAAAAAAGAGAGAAAGATTGATAATACATAGTGTTAGGGAGAGTATGAGTATCTCATTCAGTATTTCTACAGGTATACATTTGTCCAACTATATTATCTAGTAAAATTAAACATGAATACAACCTGTAACCCAAAATTCCACTACTAGGTTTATTGCAGAATCATTTGTAAAATAACAGAATTAGAAGGCTGCCACAAATTTAAAAGAAACAGATAATTTTATAAGTAAATTGTGGCTTATTCATTCAATGGGCTACTTTGCAACAGTTAAAATATGTATCAAAATGGATACTTACCTACAATCTTGTAGTATGATATCATTTATGTGAAGTTTGAAAACATGCCACACTACACTATGCATTATTTATGGATACATACATATATAGTAATAATATGAAAAGATGCACAGAAACAGAAGGGTAAATAGGATTTGGAAAGAGGTACACAAGAATCTTCAACTATATCTAAAATATCTTATGTATTTAAAAATATGTAAATCAAACAGAGCTTGGTATGCATTGAGCTAGTAGAAACTGGTAGCCAGGGATCATTCTTATAAGTTGGTGTTTATGTCAAACAGGTCTTTAATTATTTTGAATATTGCCTCTAGAAACAAACCTTATAAAATGTTAGGCATTGATATATACCTATAGATAGTGTGTTAACAAGTGTATATTATGTTATAATCTGTATATTAATGCTTCTTAAATTTTTCACAATAAAACCTAAAATTCTATTAAAAGACATAAACAGTGACCTGATTACATGGCGAGATGAGGTGTCATGAAACAATATGGTGAATGTTTAAATTTTTAAAAAATTATTACAGTAAAAGACATTGTCATTAATCCCACTCAAAATACCCCCTCTCCCTTGCTTCGAACACACTTATCCCATCATTCTTGCCACTTTCAGAAGCAGTTCTGGAAGTTCTCTTTCACGAGTGTCTTTACTTCATCCTCCATCATGACAATGCTCTGTGTCACACATCGCTTCTGGTATGGCAATTTCTGTCAAATAAAATCATTATGGTGTGTCCTCATCCACCTTATTCACTGGATCTGGCACCGTGCAACTTCTGACTCTTCCTCAAAGCCAAAATGACCATGAAAGGAAAATGTTTTGAATTGATTCAGGACATCGAGGCAGCCATGACAGTGCAACTAAAGACATTCATGAAAGAAAATTTCCAGAACTGCTTCAGAAAGTGGCAAGAATGATGGGACAAGTGTGTCTGAAGTGAGGGGGAGTATTTTGAGGGGGGTTAATGGCAATGTGTTTTTTACTGTAATAAAAAAATTTTAATATAAACATTCCCTATACTTTGTGATCACACTTCATATATCACATTTATGGATAGAATGATTTAACACTATAAAAATTTCAATAGCTCCTGAATTTATCTATAAATTGAGTTCCATCTCTGCTAAAATCCCAGCAAGAATATTTTGAAAGGGAAACTAGATAAATTAATTTTAAGATATATGTAAAAATATAGTGATACTTTTAAATGTAGCTAAAACAAATTTGAAAAAGAAAAGCAAAAATAATTGAATGTGCCTACCAGATATAAAGAATACTGCAAATACATAGTTTTGTTTTAAAAAGTGTGCTAGAGGCTATAGAGAAAAAGGAACCCTCATACACTGTTGGTGGGAATGCAGGTTGGTGCAGCCACTATGGAAGGCAGTGTGGATATTCCTTAAAAAATTAAGAATAGAATTACCATATGATCCAGCAATCCCTCTCCTGGACATATACCCAAAAATCTGAAAACATTTATCCATAAAGATATACATGCTCTGACGTTCATTGCAGCTTTATTTATCATGGCCAAGACATGGAAAAAACCTAAGTGTCTTTCGATAGATAATTGGATAAAGAAGTTGTGGTATATTTGCACAATGGAATACTACTCTGCCACAAAAAAATGATGAAATAGTACCATTTGCAACAACATGGATGGAACTTGAGATTATGATGCTAAGAGAAATAAGTCAGACAGAAAAAGTGGAGAATCATACGATTTCAATGATATGTGAGATGTAAAACTGGGAGCAAAAAAGAAACAAGACAAACAAAGGAACAAATACTCATAGACACAGACAACAGTTTAGCAGTTACTAGAGGGTAAGGGGGGGGTGGTAGAAAAGGGTAAATGGGGTAAAATATATGGCTATGGAAGGAGAACTGACTCTGGGTGGTGAACACACAATGTGATGTATAGATGATGTATTACAGAACTGTACACTTGAAACCTATGTAATATTACTAACCATTGTCACCCCAATAAATTTTAATTTAAAAAGTGTGCTACTAACACAGTAGCAGATCAATTAATTATATTATATATCAGTGGAACAAAGTGGATAATTCAGAAACAGAACCATGTTACAGGTGTATTTGACAAACGGTAGCAATAAATCAATATGAGAAAAGGGGTTGATAGTTTATGTAGGAAAAGGTACTGGAAAAATAAGCTTCTACGTATATAAAAAATAAATTTTTATCTCTACCTATCACTGTATACAAAACATTTAAGTTTTAAA